TATCATTTATTAATAATCTATCATATTTGAATGCTATTTGTATACTTCTTAAACCAAATGAATCAAGATTAAACATTGTTTTTCGTTCTTATTTTAGTCAATTGACAGACTTCTTAGGTGAAAATATTCGTAATAATATTATATTTTGTTTTACCAATACTCGAGCAACATTTTTTACTCCAGGTAATACAGCTCCTTTACTTAAAGAAACACTTGCTAATCTTCCTATAAAACATATTCCATTTAATAAGTCAAATACATTTTGTTTTGATAATGAATCATTTCGATATTTAATTGCAATTCAAAATGGAATCAATTTTGATGATTTTCAAAAAGAAGAATATCAAGAAAGTTGGATAAATTCAGTAACTGAATCAAATCGTCTTCTTACTCATATTTGTGGTCCATTAAAAACTTATCCATACATTGAATGGAAATCAATAAATCATGCACAATTTCAAATCAATCAGATCAGCCGTCCAATATTAGAAACAATTCGAAATCTTTTTCGTAATCTTATATTGTATGAAGAAAAGTCATCGACACTATTCATAAGACTTTATCCAATTGTTGTGTTGCATTCTTCAACAATGTGTACGAAATGCAAACGTATGATGAAGAATTACAATGAATTTTGGATTTATCTAGATGATCCACATACATTTTCAGACAAATGTTTGAATTGTAGATGTAGCCGAAGGAGACATATTGATGTTAGATATAAACTTGATTATGAACTTTCAGATAATGCAAATAGACAATTTATTGATGAAATGAAGTCGACATTATATCAAGTCAAACAAACAATCTTAGAATTTCGAGACTTTTTTGTTGCTACAAGTCGAACATCGAAAACAAATGATCCATTTTTATCTTTATTAAATCAAATGATTGAAGAAGAAAATCAAATTTGTGAGTTAAAAACTAATAATAGTCTTAATTTGATATTATATAAAAATCTCAATCAATTTAAAGAAGAATATGAACAAATACAAAATGTATCAATACCAAATAAAAATTCAATCAATCTGAATAAAATTTATAAATTAATCCAACAAATAAGTAGAATTGATATAATTGAAAAACAAATAGATGTTATCAAACAATATCATCAGACATATATGAATGAACAAGAAAAAGAAGTATCATAAAAATTGAATACTGTTCAATATAAACACTCGTGCATTTTTAAAGTATTTTAGATATAAATAAAATTGAACAAAATATCAATAACAAACTTTATTTTTCTAATATGTTTTGTAATATTAACATGTTGACTTCATATTTAAGATTTGAAATCTAATAATAATTTCTTTTTTTTGGCATAAAAAACTAACATCTTATAGAAAATTTCTATTTAGAAAAACTTATAGATAATGATAATAAAATATTGTGACAAATCTACTTCTGAAAACGTGAGTTTAATAATGAGTACATTTAACCTTAAGCTAAAGTCTAGATTAAAATTCATTCATCAAAATATTTAAAAAAATGAATTTTCTTGTTTTTCTCAAAGAATATTGCAAGATTTTCAAAAACTCATTCGACATTTGATTTGTTTATATTTATGTACAAAAAAGAAACACAATTAAACATTTTGCAAAACTTTTTTCAAAAGTAAACGATCTATGTTATCCTAGAATAAATAATTGTGTTCAAAAAGTACTGAAATGATTTTAAAATTCATCATTCCTAAATTCAAAAACAGCAAAAGTATTGAAATTTTCGTAGATTATTGTATCAAATGAGTAGTACGTGCCTTAGTTATTGTACTGAATTCTGGGTACACGTAAGGATATTGTGCTATCAGTATATCACAGAAATCTTTGAATTCTTCCCTACCTGAAGATATCCCATGTACTGAGACAATTCTCAGCAACGTACCCAAACAAGATCCTGTGACATATTAGTAACAAGGTAGCCAAAAAGGAATAGGAGTTTTGTATCGATCACCGATAGATAAAATAGCAGCACGATTAAAATTAGTTATTGATAAAAATAATCATTACATACAAGAACATTGATAATCTAACGTGTGTTGTTTCTTATTTAGAAATGAACAAAAAAAGATAATAAAACATGATAATATTATTATCCTTTCTTAGTCATAGGTAAAAGCAATTGACTTCAAGAACAGTAAGTTTTAAAATCATTTCAGAACTTCTAGTACATCGATTAATAGTCAATGATGTAAAGTAGACAGCACTAAAATTCAAAGCTAAAAAATAAGTATCTAATATATTCAATGCTAAAAATATTGACGAAAATATGATTTGATCTTGAAAACAAACAGAATGATTAAGATACACATATCTGAACCAACAACTTCAATGTGTTCACGCCGGAAAGATGTTGTTGTCAGTTGGAAAATTATAGGAATTTGAAAGCAAAAATCTGATAATCAGACCTGGTGGTTCATTCTACCAGACTATGATCGGTTTTAATCGAAATCGGCTGTATCTCATTTGCCTAAGTATATATAATTTACATAGATTTACTTATTATTTTAAAAGATACATATATGGAATTCATGCATCATTCGTATATATATGAGACAATCCTGATTTTAAGCTTGAAAAAGTTTAACTAAGGTTTTTGCTTTTCATTCGTCTTTCTCCAACCCACGCATTCTTTTTTCTTGTTAATAAAATTTTATTTCTTTCTCATATCTATATTTCTGTACACGTGTTAACTCTCACAAAGGTGTAAAAGTCTTCTTTCGACATTTTTATTTTCTTTCTGTGACATTTTATCTGGAAGAAAACAACTTTTTGCAACCATAATAATAGAAATAAAAAAGACTTTGCTTATTGATATGATTGCACAGGTAAGTAAAATAGACGAAGAAATTAAGATTTTTATATATCACATTTAAATCGAAATCTACTGTGAAAACTGTAAAACCTAACAATTCATTTTTTTAAAATTTTGTCATATGAAAATAAACTCATATCACAAGTATTTCCGATCCAAAAAAGAATATACCGAAGCGAAAAGAACTAACGAGGGAACATTCCCAACTGTCACATCGCTTTTGAGTTGAGCATATGCGCATCATGTAGATCCTAATGATCTATGAATCCTCTGGAAAAAGTTCGTGCTGCTAGCTTACCACTGCCGAGATACTGCATTTTTACTGTATGTTTAAGCAAAAAGCCGTGGTCCCCCTCAGGAACACTNATAATGAGTACATGTTTATAGTATTTGTGTATTACACTGATTTAGTCCAAAAATAAATGGCAAAAATACAGCTAGCAAAAACCTCAGAAAAACAATCCATAGAATGTCTCGAAAAATTTATTTTATCTTCATATATTCTTTATAATTATCTGGAAATTAGATCAACTTTACATCTTTAGAAGAGAGAATAGAAGTAAGAGTTATATTATGTATTTTCCTAGTAGACTACAGACAAAATGTACATAAAGATTAAACTACTGTTGTACTGATCGCATTAGCACTTTCAGTGCTCATGCTAATAAATCATACTTTATGAATGAGTAAATTCACTTGCGAGAGAACCGCCCGAAGTGATTCAAAGCTTTTAAGCTGATATTTTACCGATAAGTAGAGTCCAATGAGACCAGAAAAAAGCCCAAAAAGGACAAGGGTCCACGGACCTTGCTTCTCGAGTTGTGGTCATTTTACTAGGTTTATCACCTATGATACGATATTCACCGAAAAATCAAATTAAGGAGTTTCGACCTGAAATTTTGTCCACATGTGGGTCTTGTGGTCCGTATATTAGCCTCAAAGTTTAAGCCAGAACGAAAGCGCCATTCTCGAGATATTGCAATCTCAGAAAAACAGTACCACGTTGCATACATACCAAAAGAATCGACTTTTCTTGAAAACTTAATATTTCGAGAACAGTGCATTCGTTTTGGCTTAAACTTTCAGGCTAATATACGGACCACAAGACCTACATGTGGACAAAATTTCAGATCGAAACTCTTTAATTTGATTTTTCGGTGAATATCGTATCATAGGTGATAAACCCAGTAAAATGACCATAACTCGAGAAGCAAGGCCCATGGACCCTTGTCTTTTTCGGCTTTTTCTAGTCTCATTGGACTCTACTTATCGGTAAAATATCAGCTTAAAAGCTTTGAATCACTTCGGGCGGTTCCCTCGTAAGTACAAGTTATACCGGCAGTGTATCGATGGTAGTTTAATACTTAAATGATCAACTATCCACTGATCATTGTTCTATTGTGGTATATTGGCCGTAGTGCGAACAAACGTGCGTGAATAGTATTCAATACTATCATTTTAAGTTTCTTTTAGAATCATTGGTTGATTATATCGTCAAGTATAGTTTAGATAGATTTTTGATTGACTGATTTGGTAATTGAAATGGGATCAAGATCAACAAAATCAAAACCATTTCAACCAAACATAAAAACCTCTAGAAACTCTTCTGGTAGTGATGAAGAGTCGTTCACATGCAATGACATATATCGTCTAGCTATCGATCAATCTGGTGTTATTGGATCTCTTTACGATGCAAAACAGGATCGCTTACTAAAAAATCCAGTGTTAAAAATTCCTTCTGGGCCGATTGAATTAACAAAAACAGAGAAGTATCCAGAAATAAATTTTGGTAGACTTGAGGATAAAAATCTATACGATATAATTGGTATTGATAAAGAATTGTGTTTGAGTATATACTTAAAATTAGTTGACTTCAATGGAATATCTTTGCTCATTAAACATTCATTTAAAATCGATAAATATACTCGCTTTCTCTCCTATTACTATCAAACAGAACAAAATCGGTTGAACAATCACCAAACTACTATTCAATTGGGAAATATCAAAAAATCTATAGCCAATATCGATATAACTCATGTTATAACTGCGATTAAGTATGGAATTCATGTTATTATTCTACTACAACCAACACCTAATCACGAATCTGATCTTGATCAACTACTTGACAAAATAAAAAAACAACTAACTGAAAACAATTTCGACATAGCAACAATTGAAAAGGATTTATTCAATCGGTTTACTTATATAAGAGCTTTTTCCAATATACTCGATATCACTAAACCAAAAAAATTGGCTGATCTTTGTCAAAAAATAATTGATATAAAATCAGATATTTCTCAACATCGTCCAATAGAGTATACTCTTCAACCAATCAGATGCTTTTGTCCATCGTATCCAATAGAGAAGGCAAGATTTGTTCCATTCAATCAAAAACATATGGATCAAATAGAATCATATTTATATAAGTTATCATTACTTAAAGCACAATGGAAAATATTTAATTCTGAAGAAAAACAATTGCTTAAAAAATATCTCACGCAACCATATGAAGAATTTCTACAACAAGATTCTACCTTAGACAATCTTTATCGAGTAAAAAGAGATCAAAAGATAAATTTATTTTTAAAAATTCGCAGTGGAGAAATTAAACAAGATTCATTAGCAGACCCATTGATTAATACAGAAGATGAAAGATTACTAAAAAAGATTAGTGATATTACTGAACTTTGTAATACCTTGAGACAAAAAGCACAGTTAATCGACAATTTGACAAAACAGGGAATCAAATATCTAAATGTAACAGAAATCATTACAGAAGATGATATAGATTTGGAAACAATTACAAGACGAGTTGTGCATGAAAACGAACAGAAAATTGTGTATTGTTTTGACGATAGATTAGAGAAACTACGTTCACAAAAATCGACTATTTTTTATAACAAGTTAATTAATGATTGGAAAAATAATTGCCAATTAGAATTTGTTTATGCTGATTTTTCCTACTGTTCATGTCAATTATCACAAATGGAAATGTTGGCATCGAAAGAAATACGCCAATTGCGAAAGACTTCACAGGCAAAATCAACTTTAGACTCTACGACATCATCATCGAAAAAAGAACGTCCTAATGAATCAAATTCATCAATGAATAATATTATTAATATACTTCTTTTAGGTGAATCTGGTGTCGGAAAATCAACATTCGTCAATGCCATTGCTAATTATTTTAATTTTGACACACTTAAAAAAGCTCGCTCTGGTCAACCCATTGTACTTATGCCTGTTTCATTTCTTTTGACAGTTGGTGATAATTTCGATGAACGAATAGTTAAATTTGGTGATGAAGATCCCAATGAAGATCATGATCATCCAGGTCAATCAGTAACTCAACATTGTAGATCATATGTTTTTACTATTGGTACTCGAACGAAATTGAGATTAATTGATACACCCGGTATGGGAGATACTCGTGGACCTGATCAAGATGATCTAAATATGCAACATATTCTATCATTTATTAATAATCTATCACATTTGAATGCTATTTGTATACTTCTTAAACCAAATGAATCAAGATTAAACATTGTTTTACGTTCATATTTTAGTCGATTGTTAGACTTTTTAGGTGAAACTATGCATCATAATATAATTTTTTGTTTCACTAATACTCGAGCAACATTCTTTGCACCTGGTAATACTGGACCTTTACTAAAATCGATGCTTACATCATATTCATTCAAAGATATTCTATTTAAAAAATCAAATACATTTTGTTTTGACAATGAATCATTTCGATATTTAGTCGCCTGTAACAATGGAATTAAATTCGATGATTATCAAAAAGATGAATACAAGCGAAGTTGGGTAACTTCAGTGAACGAGACGAATCGTTTTATGGAATATATTTGTAACGAACTCAAGCCTTATTTACAAAAAAATTGGATGTCTATTGAACATGCTCAATTTCAAATCAATCGAATGATTCGTCCTGTATTGGAAACTATAAAAAATATGATGAGAAATAAAATATTACTCAATAAGAATTCATCTAAGTCATTAATAAGATTATGTCCAGGTCCTGTTGGTAGAAATTCAACTATGTGCAAGGTATGCAAGCGTTCTATTATACAATGTGGCGAATTTTGGATAATGCGTGACGAATTGCATATCCTTTCAGATCGATGTGATAAATGTTCGTGTGATTTTTCACGACATTCTAAAGTAAATTATGTACTTTATTATGAACTTTGGGATGAGAAACAAAAACCATCTTTTAATGATATGAAAAGAAATTTAGATGAATTAATACAGATAACTACGGAATTTGCTTATTTTTATAAGCATGTTGTTCATATTTCAAAAGAAAATGATCCATTGTTATCTGTTCTCAAGCAAATGACTAATGAAGAAAAATCGATTTACTCACACAAAGAAAATCGGATTCTTAATGCGAGATTATATGATGAGCTAAGAAGCTTTAAAAACGAATATGAAAAAGTTTGGACCATATCAGTGCCAAGCAAAAATTCTATAAACTTATCGGAAATATACAAATTAATAAAAACTTCAAGTAAAATTAAAGAGATTAGTGAACAATTATCAATTATTAAACAAATGGAAGATAACTATATGCATGAACATGAAAAGCAAGTGTCAGAAGATTCAATCAAACGGATGATGGATAAAACTCACAAAAAGAATTGAACTGATTTGCAAAGTATTTCGAATATAAATTAAAGCACACAATTTTCGAAACAATAGTTGATTAGATTATTGATATAACTATTTTTCTTCTTGTCTTTGTCATAAACAGTTTAAAAATATGAAAATATAAAAATTGAATTTGAATGACAATACTTTATTTCGATATATTAATTTTCATACTTTTATTGAACAATTCAGAAATTTTAATCCTAAATGAAATTTGAATTTTATTAATTTTATTTAATTAAATTAGAAAAAAAAAGAACTTGAAACAAAATTTTTATAATAAATTACATGATTCATTTACATAGGTTGAGGATATTTGATGATGATATCTTAGCTTTCTATAAGAAATATGTAAAATAATTTAAAAAAAAGACTTATCTTATCTATACCTCTATGCGATTGTTTACTGGTGAAAGAGAATTATCTGAATTTTGAAATGATGTCTTGAAAGAAAATATGAAAATTAGTAAACAAATAATCGTATTCTATAGCTGATCATTTTCTGTAGTATTTAAGCAATTTTTTATTATGTTCAATAAGTTAAACGTCACAATATGCTAGGTAATGACAGACTGCAAGTTACGATATGTAGCACAACAGATACTCATGTATCTATAGACCTGAGAGTTTCGAGTAAATTCGGTGAGGAATGTAGATATGGACGTATCGTTGGATGTAATTATGTGTGAATTATCATTCGGGGAATATGAAGTTAGGTGTCCATTTCGTTACACCAAATTCAGTCAAAATCGTTATTTAACAACATACGGGTAACGTAAGTTCATCAAGTTAATATTGTAAGAGCTATTTTTTAAATCTCGATGTTCAACTTATGGATATTATGACACTTTCTTCAATCGTGATTTGAGAAGAAAAATGTTTTGAAAGATATAGGTTCTTCAAACGAAAAGAAACCAGATGATCATAGAAATGATTTTACTTTATTTTTTTTGGAAGAAATCGTTTAAATCGATGAAATTTAGCCGTTAATTAGATGCCGATATAGTAAGAACGTGTGGGTGTGAGATGTAAATGGAAAGAAGACTCACATCCACATCCCATACCCTACCAAAGCTATTGCAGTTGTTTTCGATGATATTGTATTCATAATTTGAGAGAAGCAATTCTAATTCCAAAAAATGTTGATTTTTTTCCATGTCTACACCTTACATCCATATATCACACTGATATTCATATCTCACATTTCCACATTCTTTGAGTGAAGAAAGCATCAGGGCTAGAATTGACTTCGATCATCTGAATCGTCGACAAAGAAAAAAGAATGACTTAGTCATATAAAAAAAAAACATTCAAGAAATGAGACGTTCTGTAGATATCACAAGCGATTATAGTTCTTTGCGAAAACGATTGGCAATATATGTAGGAAAGTGAATATGTCTTCTCATAAAAAAATATAATTCTCTTCAGCATATTCCTACTGTTCCGCAAACTATCAGATATATTGGATAATGTTTTAAATTTCGGACAATAAATGATCAATTTTGTAAATAAAGAAAACATTAACAACGTAGATTATAATCATGATTGATTATCATTTCAATATTTGATTCCGAAACCGTTTTCAATCGATTGATATTCGCGAGATACATATTGTGCAAAATTTCATCGAAAAATATAGATTGACTAGATAGAGGATAATATCAATTTCTGAATGATTTCTTTTTTCGGTCAATATGCTCTTCATCAAAAGTTACATCGCAGAAATTTGCCTACTTCCCTGTTGGTGATGTCTGTTGTCGACCATTTTTATTTCAATGATCAACACCTGCTGTGATATTATTAGATAACACTTGCAGTATTAGAAACCTTTTATTGTTATCACTATTGATACTTGATGGACTTAGTAATTATTATAATGATTTGCCAAGTTAATAACTAATTTAAATGAGTGATTCAATAAGTTTCTCAGTCAAGTTAGGAACTAACTTGGTTTATTAGCTAAGGTGGTAATTAAATAAGTTAGTGACTAAGAAAAGATCAGGTCATAATTTATGGTGTGCATATTACAATTAACTAGATGCTATAATTTGTATGTATGTATATGATAAATGTTCTGAAAGCGTGAGCAGAAGTAATGATTGCTGAGAGCTATATCGGTGAAATGAAGCTCACGAATATAGATAATTGAAAGGCATTCGGCGATATTCATTTTTGGTAATGCAAGTTTCGGCGACGACGTATACAACCATTTTTTTCCGCGTTGAGTTTGAAAGCAGTATTTTATTTCATTTTTCTGCATTTTCTTTGCTTTCCTTATCAAATATAATTATCGTAGGCGTTATGTATACTTAAACTCCCCGAGCTAACTGTCGTTCTATCTCATTTCAAATTTTCTTTCGCTCATAACAATATCGACCCCGGTATCATGTCTCAAATGGAAGAAACAATTTATGTTCGTGAAGGTCAAGTTCATGCCAAACTCGAAGAAGCATATGCTTACAAAGAACCTTATACAACGATATTCGCTGGCCTTGAATTTATAGTCCATCCAAATGTATACAATCCAGAAGTTTTTCCATCGTCTCATTTGATGGTTAACAGATGGCTGCGTCTGATACGTGCAGTTAAACCGAATTCATTGCTTGAAATTGGTGCAGGTGCTGGTTATCTTTCAATTCTAGCTGCATTAAATGGTGCAAATACAGTCACTGCAACGGATATCACATCACAAGCAATAGCGAATATGCAGGCCAATATTGATAGGTACAATTTAGGCGATCGAATACGAACATTGTATGGTAGCATATTCGAACCATTACATAAAAATGATCGATTCGATATTATTTTTTGGAACACACCATTCAATCACATCAATAAACCACTGAACGAACTCAACGAACTTGAACGTACATTATTTGATCCTGGTTATATACTTACAGAAATTTATATAAGAGAAGCACACAAACACTTAACCAAGAATGGTCGTCTGTTTCTGGAAACTTCAAAGAAATTAGGTAATTTTGCTCGATTAACGGAGCTGGCTAGTAAATATGGTTGGCTCTTGAAACTCTTCGATGATCCTGAATGTGCTAAAGAAAAATCATACGGCATCTATGACGACATCGACTTCGGCACTTACGAACTTATCAAAGTCGAATAGTTTAAGTCAGATAGATTACTTAAATTTTATTACAATTAAGTTCATATCTAAATAAAAAGCCAATTGAAATGCTAGCTACATATATTACAAATTTTCTCACAAAAATCTATAAAAATTCACAATCAACAAGTTTTGATGCAAATCGGTTCATATATAAGACAATAACGTGCATCGACATTTGAAACTGAGTCTCAGCTATAAAAATTTATATATGGGAAATATCATATGTGGAAAGACAGTAATTGATTTCGCACTCTTTCTACGACTGAGCTGGAAGCATGATGAAGGGGATCCATTATGCGCAGCGTATTCGAAACAGAATCGGCAAACCGGTATACGACCGACTGGTCTACCGGCGATCGGTGCAACCAAGCTGAAATTTTAAAGTCGACCGGTTTTCGCCAGTTTTTTTTTGTTGATTTTTAGAACAGCAAAGTTAATCTATCTTGCTCATTTTTCAACGATTATCATGATTTTAATGATCAAGAGATATGAATTTGGAACTCTCTCATTGATAAATGTCTAGCTGTCAACCGAATCGGAGCTCTAAATATTGAGCTAAGGCTTTCTCGTCATAGAATGGGAGTCTCGGATCATGCTGAATGAATTTTACTGTGCTCATGAAAAGCTAAACAGGTATTATAAGTTAATTTCGATTTTAACCAGAAGATTTTCACTTCGAAGTTTCGAACTTATTTTTCTCGACTGATTTCTATCAATTCTCATAAAATCTCAATAACTAGTTGTTTTTAGTTCATACTTTCATTTTCAAACATAAGAAAAGATTTCGTTCTGCTGTTAAGATGTTATCAAATACTAATAGCATCATGTAATTATGAAAATATTTAGATATTATGAGACCTTAAATTAGGAAATTTAATATAAAAACTGTACATTTTAGCTCGTCTCATCATTCTGTCAACAAAGGTTTCCTTTCACAAATTGAAATTCTTTTCAGCAATGTTCTACAATTACTTTAAATAACAATAGATGAAAATTATCAATTGTAAAGATATCAGATCATTACTGTAAAATATCAGCCAGATCATAATATAAATGTTGTTTAACATTATCTGATATGAATTACTAGTGTTTTGAAAAAAAAAATCTTCGTTAGTTCTCGATCTTTCACTGATTTTTTACTGATCAAGTCAATGACTTCGATCGATTCCAAGTATGACCTACAGTTCAATGAAACCTTTGATACTAACATTTATATTCGTCCATCGAACTAAATACAAAAAATCTCATTTGTCTTTTTATTAGTACATGAAAATGTGAAACAAAATTTGAAATATCCATGGAAGCTATTCGAGATTTCTGACAAACCTCAAGTTGATTAGTCACAATGATGCACTGGATCCATATTTTTTCGAGTCAGGAAGCGTGAAAATAAGCAAAAATCTCTACAGTGCATTTATTGTTTTCTACAGTTTTACGAAAAAATTTGTCTTCAAACTTCAGATGTTTCAACGGTTCAATCTCGATGCAAAATGTCAGGTCAAAACAAAAAGGAGGCCGCTCAACGACAGAAAAAAGATTTCGTTTCAGTCGAGGGCATGGTAAATTCCGCTTTTCAGGAAATTTAAAATTGGCTACGCCTCATATTACTATATAAATCACTGTTCTAATAGTACTTTATAAAAGAATGTGTGTATAAAAGATCACTATTATTTATATTGTATCGAATCATGGTACGAATTTTTATATATACATAATATATGGTTTGATGTGGGGTTAGGTTGGGTCAAGTCAAGTCAAGTCAAGAAAGAATATGTATCTATATGTATATATAAAATATATGATTTAACTTCGGGTCCGGTTGGGTTGGGTTGGGTTGGGATGGGATGGGCTGAGTCGAGTCGGGTCGGGTTGAGTTGGATTGGGTGTGACTGTTAGCTGCGTCTCTTTGCTTATACTCACACCCACACCCACACCCCACACCCTACACTTTCGAAAATATGACGATGTGGCTCCGTTTCTTATACATCTGAATGAAAGACATGCTTATAGGTCGATACGTCGGACGATGCTACAAAAAGGAAAAATTTATCAATTTTTAGGTAATAAACACATTATTAATTCCTCGTACTATTACAGATTATTCTAGTGATTCAATAAGAAGAAAATTACTAAAACTTTCTTTCCTTCCTTTGTTTCTTCATCATATTACAGGCTTTTGCCGATAGCCGTCCAATCTAGTTCTTAGGTTCCCTAAACAATTGTTTTTTCGATGAATATAATCGAAACAGAAGGTGATATTGTGAGAATAATACTTAAGACGTTAGAAATAATCCACAAACAAGGATAGAATACAAAACCAAAACGGTTACACACGTGAAAGAATTTTCCTACTTAAGTGTGACAATACGAAGACGAAAAATAGTGTCTAACTGCCACTACAGAAGTTGATGAAAAGATTAAGATGAATAGCTTATGATGTTGAACTACCAATACAGGTGCCAATAGATGATCGAGCAGCCAGTATGATTGTGAACAAAGCGGCTGATACTTTTCCAGCCGACAAAGAAAACACACGAGATTTAGCAGAGATTCTGTTTTATCAAATCATGTTCAAAGTTTCCGTTTTCTTTCTCAATCAAATATGACTTACCAAGTCGATATTTCTCATTACTCCACATCATTTGGTGTGTGTTCCGAACTTCGTTTTCACATCGTCTCATACATGGAGAGTGCATTTTCTATTATAATTGTTCTTGGAGCCAAGTAATGGATTTGTGAATGTGAAGGAACAAGAATGAGATTGTGCTCTATCATCATTCGTGTGCTGCTAATCAGTTTTCTTCTTTTTCAGCGACTTCTCTGTAACTGCTTTTTTAGTGAAGCAGCTTGTTCTTATGATGTGATTGTACCCATGATAAAACAACAAATATTTGCACTACACCAAGTGCATTATCGCTTGCATACAGCTAGTCAAACATAAGAATTACCAAACCTCTCTCCCTGCAAAAGAAAAGAAAGGTTGGCGTATAGTAAATAATAAATCGGCGATTCTGTTTTTTCTCTTTCTTAAAATTGACTGCGAAAACCATTTTGAATCACTGTCGATCAGCGTCAGTTGCTTGATAACTATCGAAAATACGAATCGACCTCACATATTCTTATTGATAAAATCGATATTAAAAGAATCACATTTCTTCTGTATTGCATCGTTTTTATGATAGAATTTGAAAGTGTAAAAAGTGGCAAAATAAAACAGAGAATATATTAATAAAGACGAATATAATCTTGCTTTTGACTAACAATGACTATGAGCATACTAATAATTGTTTCAAATATTGATCGATTGAATACAATTTTATTCCTTGTCAGAGAATGACAATGGCAAATGTGCATATTTGTGAAGATTGCTCATTGTTCAAATGCTAAGTGTGGGTTAGTTGTGGAAGTTGCGCTTCTATTCACCCACTCCCATAACAACATTCTTTCTATGTCTTGTAGTTTTAAAAAATGTATGAAAAACATGACTCATTCATTCTTATTCTTCCGTTTTATTATCAAACTTTTTATAAGCAAATAAATCTTTAGAGAAAAAAAAATCGATTATTTTTGATAGATATAAAGTGAAAGAGTAATGCATTCAAGAAAATTTTTATCTGTTTAAATGATTTTAAAATCTCGTTTAAATTATTAAGAATATTTGAAGAATTATTATCTATTGGTAAATCATCAAACTGCTCATTACTCTTACTTGCTTGAGCTTGGCTTTTTTTCATTGATCTAACTTGTTCTACAATTAATTTCTTAAATCAGACATTTGTTTTTTATCAATTATTGTTATGATTAATCAAGATATTTGCAATAAATTAGAATTATTTATTTCAATATATGTCTAATTTCTTTCATATTTATATTTTATATGCATATGATTTGTTCAATGACAATTACAATTTTGACATAACTCTTTAAATATAAGAAACAAAAATCTTTTATTTTATTGAGAAATTTAAAATTTTATTATTAAAAAAAAAATTTCTTTAAAATTATTCAATAAAAGCATACCGATAAATAATTGAGAATATAAATCAATAAAAAAATTAATATTAAAATAAATTGACAAAGCTCTTTGTCCAAGTGCTGGATATCATTTAACAATACTTTTTTGATCAATGCATTGGTTATTTTTTAAATCTTGTATTAAAAATTTTAATCATTGTTTATAAAAAAAAAAAGAAATGATTTATTATCAAACATAAATATATTTTCTCTATTAAATTGAACTTCAACAACAGTCTTTTCATGAAATTCTCCAAAAAAGAACTTTTAATATTCATGTTGTTTCACCTGTTGATCTTTTTCAAAAATTTCTTGTTTCATGATCAACATCAAGTTCATCAATTAAACATATTGATCGATTTCCTATTAGAAATATATAACTTCGACATGATTGTTCATCATTTTCATTATTATTTGGAATTCCAAAGAAAGTCTTTGTACTAATAAATGTTTCATTGTCTATTATCATGAATGAAGAAGGAATCAATACTTTTAATTCATCTTCTGATATATCATTAAATGTATTATTAAAAAAGACAATTAGGAAATGAATTAACAAATGTTATTTTATCAACACTAGTTTCACCCAATTATAATATGCTTATATCTGCTTCTGGTGAACTTCGATCACGATAATTGAAATACATTTTTATCTATTTCGAATGAAATAGTTTTTTAAATGATGTTCTTCATTCGCTACTCGCTCATAGTGGTTAGACGTGCTTACTCTTGCCGCTTTTTAGTGCTCGTTCTCTTCTCTTTTCTTTGTCTGTTTACACAATAATCAAAGACTAAGTCTTGGTGATTGTTGTCATAAATGACGTCTCTTAGTAGACAAAACAATAATCTAGTTGATCTTCAGCAACCAGTTCTTTTGCCCGAGGAAAACTCTCGAATGTATGCAGTGATGAATAATGTATCACTTGCTCCAAACAACGATATATCACAGGAACAGTAAATTGTCTATTATAATGCACCGGTTAACTACCTACCAATAAATAATCAATAGCCATACGTATACTCACAACAATTGCCTAACAGTCATACGGTTAATCAATATTCATCACCTAGTTCAACAGCTCAATATAATCAACAACAACAAGTATTGTCTTTCATAAGTATTCCTCCACCATTTATGCAACAGTCAATGATACATTCCAACATGCATCAACAACAACCGGCATTATCAGTACAACAACTATCCGTCAATGTAACAGCATCACTTTACTCATCAATGATTAACCCAACAGTATCTTCCACACCAATATCAGCTCATAACAAGAGAGGTCGCAATGATACTAGTGGTTTATCGGATTCCAATATGCAAGTACGTCCCCAATACCATCAGCCTAATCTTGCGTTTAATTCGAATAATACTCCCAACAAACGGATTCGTGGATTCAACCAGCAGCGTAACGATGGGGCTTATTTAGGTCGTTATACACAAAATCAACCAGCACAATTGAATCGAAATTCTCTGGGAACAAGGGACACGGAGAAACGGAATAATAATAACCAGCAACAACCATCAGTAGCTACTTGTCGTTTCGCTACAACTCGCTTTCCTTTCTCACCCTTCTCTGTTATTTTTTCACAAGAAGTTCGTGAGAAGTTGGTCGTTGACGATTTGATCAAACACGCACTTGCTCATCTAAATGTCGAATTAAAAACGGTTGCTTATCGGCGCGGAAGAGCGGGAAAAGACGAATGCTGTATCTTGATATTTGTGGAGAATAGTGAATCGTTTTCGTTCTTGTATGATCGTAGTAATTGGCCTACAGAGCTAGCAGGCTGTCAATTCACAACAAAAAATCCTTCGATTCCTCCACAATTGGCCCTAGTCTTGCCGACTGTATCGCTTCAAGTTGATTGGGATGAATTCGTGCAGGAGGTGAAAAGCAATTATCCAGGAGTAGAAAATATCGTTCGTTTAAAAAATAAAGCACAGCAACCGGTACGCGCCGTGAAACTGGAGTTTCTATCGCCTAAAGTACGTGGTGAAATATTAGAAGCAGGTGAAATTGGCATCATGCATATGAAGTACAAGGTGGTGGAATATTTTGCTCAAGCAAACGTCTTAATTTGTTCCAACTATTTTGGAATAGGACATTTCAGAAAGAACTGTCCACAGAAAGAAGAATCCACATGCAAAACCTGTGGTGAAAAATGCTCGAACTTGAACGAGTACCAATGTTCTGGTCTTTTAAAATGTATACATTGTGGTTGGCCCCATACTTCTAATGATTCAAAGTGCAAAGTCATGAAAGACTATCGAGCTGCTCTCACTCGAAAGCTCCTGGCTAACGTGGTACCAGCAACCGTAGGAGATACAAGTTCTGAGCGAACACAGTTAAATAATCAGCTGTTCAGTTCTACGACTAGTCGTCTGCCTTACTCTACTGTCGATCAAGCGATGCCATCGAACATGAACGATTTAATTGGCAAGAAACTCGATAGCATGTTAGCAAAAGTGGAAGAAGAATTTAACGCAACTCGTCGATCTATTGGGGAACTAAAAGATGAAATGAGTATTCGTTATGACGAAACAAGAAAACAAGGTGAAAACAATGGAAAAGAAATTTGAGGATCGGTTCATACAAATGTACGCAATAATGCAGGACTTATGTACGTCTATAATGGATTCACAAAGTGCACAGGGCGTAAATTGGAAATCATATTGGCAGGAACAAATTAAAATGCTGGCAGAATTCAGATCGTCCCACTCGAACTCTACAGAATGATCAATCCGGTAACCGATACTTACAGCTTAGATTTTAATGCTACTTGTTTTCCGGATACAACTCGTAATACGCTTTCACCAAAAGACTTCTCTCTGCTTTCGGATGGTCTGCTAGATTGGCACTCTGCTTCTTCATTAACTCATCTTGCTTCGAAATGGAAACCTTTCCAAAAATCGTCCCAGCACCAATCTTATTCTTATCTACATATGCTTTGCTTTAATATTCGTGGTCTTGATCTAAGATGGGGCGAAGTCTGCCTGCTGGTGGGATCACATCGTTCTGATATTATAGTTTTGGGCGAGGTTGGGCATGTGGATTTCTCTCTAATTGGAGCCGCCTTTGCGAATTATCGATTCTTCGATCAATGTGAGGAAAACGCACACGTGGGTGTTTTGGTTATGATACGCAACGACATACCTGCCACGAGAGTCCTCTGCTCATTACCAAATGTATATACGATTGGTTTACTTTTAGAACAAACAATTAGACTTGTTGGAACATACGCACCTGCAAGTAAAACATGGGACTGGTCGGATCTGTCGCCGTTCGTCATCAATAACTGCTTAATGGCGAAAAAGCCAACAAACTACTTCAATGGATGGATTCATGCGCGCTTGGGCCTATCGTTCCTGATTCCAATACATCGCTTCGTTCGGAGTGCACAATTGATTATGCCGCAGCCGTCGGTGTACCTCTTACGATTCAACGGTTGACGGGGATACATTGAGTGATCACAAGCCCTTACTAGGTGTACTAGCATGTGATGAGGTTGGAGCCTGCGAAGGATCGCGAACAATCTGGTCGGTTTTTTCCTTAGTGTTGTCGTACACGTCAGGCTTTTGGGGAAAAGAATGGAAATATGGATCATACGATATTATATACGAACAGTTTATATCTTTTCTGGCACTTCTGGCCGCCAGGTGCAAACAATACTTTCCGCTTAAACTTGCTCGTCCTTCTGTTCCGCCTGAGCTCATGAAGCTCCTAGCGCAAAGTATGTCATTATCTTTCAAAGCAAAACGGAAGGGAGATTTGGTACTCCGACAAGAAGTTCGTCGTTTACGAAATCTGGCTTGTTTCGAATTAAAACATTTTCAACAGAACCATTTGACCAAACTATTAAAAGAAAGCCATGTGCCAGCTGAAAATTCTAGCTTATTCTGGAGTAAAGCAAAGAGACAATTCAGGACTGTTTCCTCTTCGTTGAGGGGTTTCAAATTATCGAACGGTGAAATAATAAAGGATGCACAATCGATCGCAAACACGGCTGCTGGACACTATGAAAAACTATTCGAAACTTCAGTGGTGGTACGTCCACACCCATATGTCGATGTACCTCTGATCCGATGGGATAATGTGTCAGATCCGATACCACTGGTGAACTATCCTGAAATACTAGGTGTACTGCGAACTAGAAAGAAAGAAACAATCACAAGATATTCATGGACT